ACTTTAAAACATTTATGGTGAAGTGAGGGAACATTTATAGAAGAGTAATATAAACTATTTTACTAAAGTAAATAGAAGAAATTATATATATATATATATATATATATATATATCTCTCCACCAACCACCCTTTCATCACTGAACCAAAGCTTCAGCCTTGCCGACAAACATGTCAATTATCATAGGGTTATGGTAGGCATTCATCTGCACGTGTAAGGTGTAATCTATCAGTGCAAGGTTTTAATTAAAGCAATAACCTCATTATGGCCATGCTAATCAAGCGATTTTCCTTCGCTAATGATTGGATTAAAACTATAATTAGTCAAGAACAGACACATCGATTTTGTTTTAATATGCTAAAAGGACATAGATTCGATCTTCTTCTTATTGCCATTAAGAATTCATGTTCTTAGAGAAATTTACATTAATGTCACACATTTTTTATGTATTTACTGGACAAACACCTAAACTTTGATTCCATAATTCTATCTTATAAAAGTATTTTAACTTGCTTGTTTATTTGTTAAATGGATATAAAGAATTTTAATTGAATAAATATTGAGTTATTTATCAAATGTAGTATTCTTCTTATTACCTTAATCATATATACAAATAGCGCAAGATCAATGAAGCCATTAGGAGTTAGTCTCTTAAATCTCCATTAAGCGTTCATTCGTCGAAAATAGACCAATTTCTAAGTCATAAGTGAAAACTGATCGTTGAAAATTTTAGGTTTTTTTAGTTTGTTATAAATATTTTGAAGGATTTGCATGTAATTCTTATGTATATATAACGTCAAAAACTTTCATATTTATTTATATAACATTCAAAATTTAGATATCTCATTAAAAATACCACCAAATGTTAATTTTTTTGAGCATATATATAAGACATCGGTATTTGACAGAGGCCCAAAATATCGATTTCTCATGCATTAGGCCCCATGATGAGAGCTCATGTCATGTGCTTAAATATTCGAGAACTCAACGCCACTGGGCTATCTCCCTCATTGTTTCTCTATCTCTTTCTATCCTTCTATCCCTCACTTTATCTCTCTCTCTCTATCTCTCTCATTTTTGTAGTCAATTTTATCTGTAAGGTGTAGATGTTTTCGATAGCCAAATTTAGATTCTATATCTTTAAAGGGTTTTGAGTTTAGATTAATTTTAATCACAAATGTCCTAACTCTCTCTCTCTCTCACTCTCTCTATGTGTGTGTGTGTGTGTTTGTGTGTGTGTGTGTGTGTGTTGCACCCAAAAAAAAAGTATTTTTAAAGTTATAATGTTGATCATTCAATTTAATTTTTATATTCATCAACTTGTTAAATTTTTAATGATTGAATGCATCACTCTCTTAAAGATATAAATTTAATAAATATATATATATATATATATAAAGAAGCAATTTTGAGACTAAATGTGCCTAAATATTGAGGTGACCTCAGCATTGTATCATCCATGACATGCTTAAAGTAGTGAAACATTCTTAATGCTACTTAATTCTGATGAAACATAGGAGGGAAATCTTTATAATATGTAGTTGGTGTAGACTTCACTTTATTTAAGGGCATTTAAATGCATAACACATTCAATCCTTATGTATTTACATATTTAACACCTAGACTTCAACTTTTTTACATTAATACCACTCAAGTCTTTCATTTCATATAATAAATATCATTATTTAACTTATAAAAAAGGAAATTCATCTTTTCACGTAAAGTTAAGATGACTTATATGTAAAATTGAACTTTAGGTGTAGATACATACAAGGGAAGAAAGTGGCATGTATATAAATCTTCCTTTTATTTAATGGGGCAGATAATGTAAACTCACTACATGAGAGAATTATTTATGCTTAAATATTTATAATTAAAAATATTAAATAAAGGGGTATTTATGTATATATATATATATATATATATATGACATGCAATTCCATTGTATTTACATATCTAACAACTATATTTTACTTTTTACATTTATACCACCCACCCATTTCTTTTAAATATTTACAATTAAAAATATTAAATAAAAGGGGCATTTAAGCCAATATACCATGCAACTCCTTTGTATTTACATATCTAATACCTAAACTTTACTTTTTTTTACATTTATATCATTCAAATATTTGCTCGTGTTCGACTCATTCGCTAAGTTAACGAGTCGAACATGAACAACACAAACAACACGAACAAATATTTGTTTGTTCTTACTCTGCTCGTTTTTACTCAAAATACTATTAATCAATTATATATATA